GTCCGCTGCACCCCTCCTCTTCTTCCCTTCTCATTCTCCTAGCTCCCTCCCCCCTCTTCCCATGCTCTCAATTTGCTCAGGGGATCGTGACCCTTTACCTTTCTCCAGGGGACCCCATCCATTTTCCTGCAAATTTCAAGATTCCATTGTTTTTTTTCTGCTGACTAGTACTCCATTGTGTAAATGTACCACATTTTCTCTATCCATTCTTCGGTTGAGGGGCATCTGGGCTGCTTCTAGTTTCTGGCTACTACAAATAGTGCTGCTATGAACATGGTTGAACAGATGTCCTTGTTGTATGAATGTGCTTCTTTTGGGTATATGCCTAGGAGTGGAATTGCTGGATCTTGTGGTAGACTGATTCCCATTTTCTTGAGGAGTCGGCATACTGATTTCCAAAGTGGCTGTACAAGTTGGCACTCCCACCAGCAGTGGAGAAGTGTTCCCCTTTCTCCACATCCTCTCCAGCACAAACTGTTATTGGTGTTTTTGATTTTGGCCATTCTGGCAGGCATGTACTACCTTTCTTTATCCCTGTTTGGATTTCCCACCTGGCTAAATCCTGCCTATCTATTGGCTGAAACAGCTTTATTCATCAACCAAAAAGAGAAACATATATTCACATCATATAGAAGGACATCCCTTTCATTTATTCTTTCATCAACAATGAGTTAAAGTATCCATTTGCCTCCAAAAACATATTTTCTTTGTCAATATGATAGGTAAATATTTCAATATTTCATTGTAGTTTAAGGATGTATTTCTCTTTTATGAGTAAAGCTGAATTTTTTACTTAAGAGGTATTTCTTTCAATTGACCATGTTGATCAGTGGTAGACTGCTTGACTAGCATGTGTGATGCTGTGGACTTTATCTCCAGTACCACAAAATAAACATATGAATAAATAAATAAGATTGTTTGTGTTCTTTCCTATTCATCTATAGAGTTATGTTTCATTATGCAGTTTTAGACACTCACATATGACTTTCCTTAACTTGTGACCAAAATTATAGGTGACTGATATAACATTTCATAGGCAAGTGTTCTGGTTTAGATATGAACCATTCCATAGAAACTCATGCATTGAAGGCTTGGTCCTCTTTAAATCAATGCTCGAAGGTAGAGATTTCAGGAAGTGATTGGGTCATAAGGACTCTGACTTCATTATAGGTTTAATGTGTTGATGACTTTGGTGGGTTATTGCGAGATGGTAGAAACTCATGAGAGTTGAAGGGAGTGAGTCACTGGATGCATGGCATTGGAGGGACTGCATTTTGCCTAGATCTCTCTCTCTCTCCCTCCACCTTCCTATCTCTCTCCTTGTCTCCACCATTTCCTCCATTCCTCCCTCTCTGTGTCTTTCTCTCTGTTTTTCCTGGCTACTATGAGGGAAGTGGGTTTATTTAAACATGGACCTCTTTGCTATTATGTTTTCTTTCATCTTGGGTCCAAAGTGATGGAGCCAACTCACCATAGGTTAAAATCTTTGTAACTATGAGCTAGACTGAATCTTCCTTGCTTCTTGCTTTTTGATACAGAGTCTTATGTGTCTGAGACTGGCCTTGAACTCACTATATGGTGGAAGATGTCCTTGAACACCTCATCTACTTGCCTCTACCTTCTGAGTATGGGGATTATATTTCCAAATGAGTATGTATGCATTCGTGCATGAGTGTGTGTGTGTGTGTGTGTGTGTGTGTGTGTGTGTGTGTGTATGTGCGCGTGTGCGCACCTGTGCATGCATGTGTGCTACTTTCCCTTGACTGTGAGATACAGTTAAGAATAAAATTTTGGCCATACTTACTAGCTCTAGTTTAATATTAGATCTTAGTCATGCTTTGTTACATTGCAATAATTCTCTTTTTTAGACTTTTCTTAATTTCTTTTTATTTAAATTGTTTTCATTTCACATACTAGCCCCAGTTCTCCTCCCTCCCTTTCTCCTGTCCCTCCATATCCCCCTTATCCCATCCCCCATCCACTCCTCAGAGGGGGTAAGGCCTCCCTTGGGGAGTCAACAAAGTCTGGCAGGACCAAGCCTTCCCGCCCTGTATCAAGGCTGAGCAAGGATTCCCATCATAGGGATTGGACTTCAAAAAGCCAGTTCATGCACCTGGGATAACTCATGGTCCCACTGCCAGGGCTTCCCAAACAGATCAAGCCAAATAAGTGTCACCCACATTCAGGTTTCCCAGCTGTCAGTCCAGAGTCTGTGAGCTCCCTCTAGCTCAAGTCAGCTGTCTCTGTGGGTTTACCATCATGATCTTGACCCCCCTTCATCATATGATCCCTCCTCCCTCTCTTCACCTGAAGCCAGAATTATACAATGGAAAAAAGAAAGCATCTTTAACAAATGGTGCCGGCATAAGTGGATATTGGCACGTAGAAGAATGCAAATAGCCATTATCTATCCCCATGCACAAAACTCAAGTTCAAGTAGATCAAAGACCTCAACATAAATCCAGTTACACTGAACTTCATAGATGAGAAAGTGGGAAGTAGCCTTGAACACATGGCACAGGAGACCACTTCCTAAATAGAACACTAGTAGCACAGCCACTGAGAGCAAAAATTAATATTGGAACCATTGAAACTAAAAATACATTTATGATGAGAGAAAAAGCTGAGTATAGTGATTATAGTGGCTGTATTCATTTTTAGAGCTGGATAGCTTAAGCAATTTATTGTCTTATATATTTTGAATGCAGAATTAAATATTTAGGTGTTAACATGCCTACTTTTATAATTTTGTCTATCACAGTCCTCTGGTCTGCTATTGCCTTGGAAATATACACTGGCTTTTTTTTAAAAGAGGAACTATTGCCAGGTATTATGAAGAGGAGTGACATGGTATGAGTATATCTTAAAAGTACTACATTGCCTACTCTGTTGAAAATAAGCTGGTAAAGATATAAAGTAGTTAAGAGAATATTGCAATAATCCAGGTAAGAGACAAAGAGTGCCTTGTGAGCATGGCCCTATATAGGTAATGACACACAAAAGTATTAAACATGCTACGATTATTCTCACGAATAGGGGCATATGCATAAATGTGCATGTGAAGATCAGAAGACAATCTTATTTGTCACTCCTCCAGTATTATCTGTCTTATAAAATGTTGAGATTAGGCCTTTCACTAGCCTGGAACTCTTACCAAGTAGGGTAAGGAGGCTGGCCAGTGAGCACTGGGGTTTTGCTAATCTCCATCTCCTGAGCACTAGGGTTACAAGTACACGCCACTATACCCAGCTTTTTGTGTGAGTCCTGGGGATGGGACCACAGGTCAAGCACTGACTGAGCTGTCTCCTAGCCCTATAGTTCATTTTATATATATGGAGAAAGAGTAGAGAGAAATACATTAAACATTTAAGCACTGTATGTATAGTTACTGATTGTTAACTGGTATTGCAGAGAAGGGTGTTTGGGCAAGGATCCTCACATCTTACATGTAATGTGTGGAGAGTACTTTGTTCATATTAATCCTTTTCTCCAGTGATTTATCTCCTTATTGTTGAGGTATGGTATGCAACTAGCTTGGTTGCAGACAGTTTTGGAGACTAAGAGTTGAGAACTTGGAGTGGAGGGGTAGTCTTACTGTTT